CTGTGCTCGTAGTTAGAGCTGTGTGCCTTAGATGGCCATATTAAGAAAAACCTCTCTCTGTGATGTCATAAAGGTCCAAGTGAAGAAAAAACTGTCTGAAATGAGTGTTTTATAGAAAGTTGTAGAAATAGCTGTTTGGCAAATTTTGAAAACTAGAACTATAGTAGTTCTGACAGAATAAGCGTGTGTTAGCTTAATGTCCCCTTAAGTAAGATCCCAGTACTAGAAATGGTACCAGATCACTCTTAGAGAACCACAGCTATCAGAAAACAAAAGGCTATATTTTCCTTATAAGATTTAAGGGAAATATTTGACCAGTGACATGGTGCTATGCATCTGCATGGGTGTGCTTTTGTTACATGGATGGAAAGTGTGTGAGTGAGGAAAAAGAAAGGGTGTTTGTGTGTGTGTGTGTGTGTGTGTGTGTGTCTGCTGCTGTGTTAGTATACCTCTCAGATATTAGGCCCTGTCATGTTCGATAAATAGCCATTTATCACACATGCCTTTCTCTGCGATGGTACCCGCAAGATCCAATCCATTAGCCATAAGCTGGATGTCCACTCAGTGTGTGATGGTGTGTGTGCACATGTGAGTGTGTGTGTCATAATTTATTATAACGCGTAAGGAATTGTGACACAAAGAAGATGTGTATGTGTGTTCGTGTCTGTAGCTGAAAGAGAGAAGGGGAGAACTTGCAGGAGGAGATTGTGTGGTGTATAATTTTAACAATAATTTGATTTTATTTACATTATAATAAATTATGTGCATGAAGTGCAAGAGGGTAATAGTGATCAGTTACAGTTTTATAGATCCAGCATGTTTATGGTGTGCGTGTGTGTGTGTGACAAAGCAGAAGGTTGATGGATGATAAGTTACATTGATAGTGACACTGCACAGAGACACACAATACTTGGCTTTCACTTTCACCCTGTTTTTTCTCCTCTTTCAGCTCACTCTAGTTTGTTCACATCTCTGTGCACTGCACTAACCACCTGCCAGCTTTGCGCTGCACTAGAAAGATGTAAAGGCTGAGAGGTTGATGATATCCCCTCCAGCCCCCAGACAAGCTTTAGGGGTCATCTTTACCTTAGTAATATTTTCTGGAAATATTAGATTCAATTTCACTGTTATGCAGATGACACACAGCTCTATTTCTCTTCCCACTTCTGCTCACCCATCCACATCCATTTCTGAACATTTAAATGCAAGTAAAGTTTGGTTTACACACAATTTTCTTAAACTTAATGGTAATAAAACTGAACACCAATTTTGCACCGTCTAAGTCTTATAACTTTTTTAAATGTCTATTGATACCTCTGTTGTCATACCTTCCCCTCGGGTTAAGAGTTTGGGTATCATCCTTGACAGTAGTCTTTCCATCACGGCACATAAACAATATCACCTGGTCTGCCTACCTTCATCTTCACAATAATAACCCCTTTGTTCCTCACTTATTCTCCACAGCCATACCTGTCAATGCTCTTGTCACATCTCATCCTGGTTACTGTAATTCTCTTCTCCACAGTCTTTCTCATGAATCTCTCCATAAACTGCAGTTGGTTCAGAATTCAGCTGCCCACATTATATCCCGAACCAGAGTCACTGAACACATAACGTCTGTTCTTAAACAGCTCCATTGGCTTCCAGTTCACCTACACATTAACTTCAAGATCCTCCTTCTCACTTTCAAAGCCCTTCATAACCTTACTCCTCTATACTTATCTGATCTTGCTAATACTTACTCTCTAGCACACTCTGGTCCTCTTCAGCTTCTCTTTTGTCTGTTCCTTCTGCTGCATCTGACTGCCATGAGACTTAGAGCCTTTAGTTGCTCTGCCCCAAGATTTGAAACACACTTCTTCCAGATCTCCAAACCATAAACTGCCTCTATTTTTAAATCTCATCTCAGAACCTGTTCAGACTTGCATAGCCTTCATTGTAGCATGGCCTTTGTTACTGTGATCAGTTTTTTTTTTTTTTTAATAATTTTGCTTTGTGATTTTATTTATTTGGTTATTATAATTGTATATATGGCTTTAAATGCTGTATGTATACAAGTTTACCTTGAGATGTTTGAAAGGCACGTACACATGAAATGAATCCTAATTATTAAATTGTTAGAAAACCAAAACATTTATGATTTTAAAAAATGTAAAAAAAACATTTATTTACCATCATGCACGTCAGACCAGCCACCAACCTTACATACAAGCTTTCAGAGTCAGGCTGTGCTGCAGGTAAAGCAGTTATAAAATAGGAAGTGTTCACAGCCACACTCAAAGGCAAAAGAAAAACGCTGTCAATCATAACGAGAGATATCATTGGGCGAATGACGCGCAACAACTCTGCTTCATTTTTCACAGCTTTTCAGCATCAATGTGAAGTGGATGTACACTTGTGCAAAAATTGTTAGACAGAAAAATGCTGGACAGGAGGATATTCACCTATTGAACATTTCTGATAAAGTACAATGTCCAATGTCGACTTTAGACCATCCCAGTAAACATTTTTCAAAACAATGTGTAAAACCAATCACAGGCTTTTGTCGTCACCAGTCAGTAGACAGAGGAGTGTAGCCAGATATTTTCCTCATGAGTTGGTACAGAAAAACAATGCTAAAAGAGAGTACTGGACAAAAGTTCCAAAATATGACTCCAAATAAATTAACCCTTAACTCTGGACACTGTGGACACTATGACCACATGTAAGGCTTTGTTTAGTCTTTGCTTTCCATTTTGCTATTTGGTGCTTGCTCCGATATCTTGCTGCTTCCTGCTACTGTCCCAAAGCATGAATCATACCTTTATTTAGAGTTATCCTGAATGCAGGCATAATCAGAAGTTAAGAGTAGATACCCTTCCAATAAAGATGGCTGTATTTGTTCAAACATGCAATTACTGAGACCGAAAGTCCACATCTCTGCAGTGATAGACAATAATGTTATCCCTGCACCGCACATGCACACTTTCTACAGTATTGGGGTTTTTTTAGGCTGCCCTTTTCCCACTAAAACTCAACATTTGAACCAACTCATCATCCATCTGCCACAGAATGGGGAAAGCTATACACCTGTTTACCTATAAAGTCTTCTTTAGTTTATTTAAAAAATTTTATCCTTCTTCCTTTTCTTGCTTTTTCTTTTCTTCTTGTCTACATACAGCATTCTTATAAGGAGAGCTGTTTAAAGTAATCAGTGCTGAAGTTTGCTATCCTCAGTGGAGATAACAGGGATCAATATTTACAGATAGCGTTCACAGCTTTCAGCAGGTCCATTGTGCCTAGCCACTAAAAAACAACCTCTGTCTCACTCTCACTCTCTCTCACACACACACACAGACTTGGGCACGCTTACAAGCTCCGATTGGGACACCATCCAAAAAACAATCAGTCAGTGTATCTTTCTAAAGACCGGTGATATAACTTAAAGGCTACATGTAGAACATAGCCAAAAGTGAAAAAGAATACATTTTAATGTGTTACAGAAATGCATGTTAAGAGCTTTATGAGTGTTTGTGTTAAAATTCAAATGCAGCTGCTCATCGTGTGAGAACTTGGTGTTCTTTTAAGTTCTCTGCAAAGGGTCTACCTTTTTTTCATAAACAGGAAGGCAGATTCAACACAAACATATATGATATCTGAAGTGACATTAAGAAAGAAAAAGACCTTAAAAGAAAATACCCTTCACTTTTACTTAGAATGACAAGAAACACTGGTCCACTCTTTGCTGGCGTATTAGCTCGGTCCACAGCAAGTCAGCTTGGCATGTGTGTGTGTCATCAGGTGATCAACTGTCCTTCTGCAGTAATAAATGTTTTGTGTCAAACTGGACTGACTCACCTATCTTTGTCCATCTGATGCTTAAATCTTTGTTCCAAGTCTTCTCCATTGATGTGTCACAAGTCGGTGGGGGGACATAGTTTCCCTGTGCGTTTACCATCACCAATCAATTCAACAACTTCAGCTGAAAAACCGACAGAGACAAAGTGGGGGAAAGTGTTGCGAAGCAGATGCTGTTTCTGTCATTCTCTGCTTTTGTACTTATAGATTCAATTTTCCGTTTTTCTGTCACCTTGTGTTTTACATTAACAAACAGGGAGTTGGCAGGCGTGTAAGTAAAAAAGTGACATGGAAACTGCATTTCTGCAGCTATATTAAGGAGGAAGGCATTTCCAATTCAGTTTTACTTCTTCAAAATGATCAGAAACATTGGTCTGCTCTTGGCAGGTGTATTATGATGGTCCACTCATATACGTTCGGCAAAACAGAGGTAATACATTTTATCTACCCATCTGCAATATAGTAAAATTTTACATCAATTCGGACTGAGATGGGCTACGTTATGGTGATTGCCACACCTATCTTTGCCCAGCTGATGCTCAAGTCTTTGCTCTCACTCGCCATTGATCTGTCCAAAGCCATAATTCAGTTTGGGAGGGGGGGCATCGTCTCCTTGTGGGTTGACTATCACCAATCAATCCAACAGCTTTACCTGACAAACAGACGGAGACAAAGTGGGGGGAAATGTGGCAAAACAGATGCTGTTTTGTCATCCTGTGCGGCTGTTATCATGGATTCAATTTCCCATCTTTCTGTCGACTTACAGCCCTGCTCTGTCTCATTTCTTTTTTATTTTTTTATCGACAGGTGACCTGTAACTGGTTGGAGAGAGAGAGAGAGAGAGAGAGAGAGCGGGGAGAGGAAAACAAATGGAAAGGGAGCAGAGGGGAGGAGAATGAGCGAGAGAGAGCGGGACCCGAGAGCTTCCTTGTTAACAATGGAAGTCTCTTGCTCTGCTGGCTTTTGATTTAAAAAGAATAAAGGGGACTTTTCCTAAAGAAGGCCAACAGGATTATTTTGACATCAGTTGAGTTTTTTGCCCCATACAAGGTATTTATGCTTCTGCCTCGGTAGGAGCGGTCATAAAAGTACTCTGAACACAAAAATAACTCCAATTCCATCCCTTCCTCTTTCTCTTTGTTGACTAGAAACTCTACTTTAAG